AAACTTGTAGCTCCATGCAACCCGTTTTTCTTTGTCCCTCAGTTCCTCCTCACTCTCTACTTCATTTTTAAAAAAATTAAAATTGTTAAACATTGTTAACATTGTTTTTTATTTTTCCTTATTTGTAGTCCACATAAGACAGTTAGTGGATGCACAGTTTCATCCAGGAGATTAGTTTTCATATCATTTTTGTTTTAATTAGTTTACCAGTATATTTTTGACTTGTAACTGTTGTCCTCATCCACCATTTGGTTAGATGTATATTGACAATAAAACTTTACGGGGTTAGTTGAGTAAAAGGACATACTCTGGGTTAAAATGCACCCTCTTACACCTTTAACCATGTAAGAAGCATCTCCTTCATTTTTCAGGCTTGTTACAAACATGTTTGTGAAGTTTGAGAATACAGTTGCCTGGGAAATAGCTCATCAGGCATCTGCAGTACAAAAGATCTTCTTTACTAAAAATCCTACTTCCTCTTACTGACATGTTATTTTTTATACACTAAATTTCACAAGGTTAAATAATTTCCTTTAAAATTATTTCATGCAAACTGCCGATATGTGTTTATTCCCGGCTAAAGATTTTGTCCTAATTCTCTCCACATAAGCACTCAGGATAACAAATACATATTTCTTTGATGCTGTAATTAATGCAAAGCCAGCGTTCTCCTTAATCTTCATCTTTTTTCGACTGCTTCCTTTAGGGGGTGATGACAGGGGCCGTATTGCTAGCATCCTCCTTTTACAACATCCATGTATCTTCTCTGTGGTCATTCTTATTGACAGCTCCATCTTCAACATCCTTTGTCCACTTTAACCACTGTTGCTTCTCTGCACATGTCCAAACCATCTCAGCCTCACCTCTCTAACTTTGTCTCTAAACCACTCGACCTGAGTTGTCATGCCTATCTGCCTGCACTCTTTTCTTCATCTCTCTTACGCGCTGTCTTTGGAAGGTTGACCTGCACTTTACAACGTCATCCTGTCCAGTATTTTTAAAGACAGGAATGTGCAATGAATATACGGTTCAGTCAAATATGTTATTGTTTGCCTTGCTTATAAGTCATATGTTTACCTTTGAGGTTGGTGTGTTTTAAATCTGCGATTCTGTGCTCGAAGAACAAGCCAGTGAATCGTGTTCTTTGTACAAATACAGTGAGAACATTAACATCTAAAATCTAGCTCAATAAAATTCTCAACCACATTTACACCACATCTCTAACGTGTTTCCTTTTCTCACTATTCAGAGGATCCTCAACAAGCTGTGGTGAGGAAAGGGTCAAAGGTCACCTCAGAGAGAGTGGTCCTGGTGGTTCTCGGTGTTCTCCTGTCAGCTGCTCTCATTGCTCTGTGTTTTACCAGTGAGTTAACATTAGAATTTAATAAGACTTAAAGTAAAATCAATTATTTTAAGTAATGTTAAGAAGAATAATGCTTCTGTTTAATGTTTCCCCAAAATACTGTCTTTTACATTTTCAGAGCTATAAGAATGTTTTCAGTGTAAAGAAAAATGTTTACTGACTGATTTATTTGTTTGTGTACTTGTTTGATCTTTTTTAAATCAGCATTTGAAATAATTAAAACTAACAAAAAGGTCAAATATCTGGAAGATGACAAAATGAAGTGTGATAATAATCTCACAGGTAAGAATATTTAAGATACACTTTGATATTTGGTCAGACATTCCTGATGAATGACTGATGACTGTTTTATTCTTTATTCTAACAGAGACTCTCTCTAAGATAAAATCATGCAGCACGGTGCAGCCGACCTGTCCAGCACCTAAAGTAATAGGTAAGTTATGGATTTTGTCTCTGAGACACAAACTTCAAGCTAAGCTCACACAAACATGAACAGTGATTTCTTCCACCTGACTGAAGTCGTTGCTGTAATCTCTTCAAAGATGATCCTTGTT